TGAGTGACCAATGACCAGTCACTACTTTCTTACAACATATTTCACAATGAAACTACTATTTTTAATCTTGGTTTTAATCAGTATTGAACATCTAAATTTCTATAGTAGTTTTAGTTTTATTTCTAGCTAATTCTATGTAAAAAAAATTGTAGGACATAGTTTGATGAAATGATGGGGGGTACTGTATACACTTACCACAATGCAATAATATGATAATGTTACAGGTAACTTATTTTTGCATACCTGTACTAGTACCCTTATCCTTTAATGTACCTTTATTTTAGTTACATTAAGTTGTCTATTCCTTGATACAAAATAAAGGCAGAATTAACTTAATATTGTATCTGACAGGACAGTGATATAGTAGGCCAATGGTACCGGCTCAATCATACAGTACCACAATAACAATATTCAATTTAGTCAACCTTGCTAAAGATTAATATAATAAACACTACAATGGACCAATTATTTGAGAAATATAGTGGCCTAAGTGTTCATAGATGAACATAATGGCTATTCATGTTAATATCTTCTTTATTAATAAATTGTATATAAAAGTAATACACAGAAAAAAATCCACCAATGTTTAAACACTATTTGTTCCAATTTGTCTGAATGTTTACTTAGCCATACAATACGAAGTTTAGGATTAAGAATTTTTAGAAGCAGCATTGTAGAACTTCAACAATACTGTACTGTAAAATTCAAGGCTTATTTACTACTGTAGAAGCAACACCCACGCCAAAGAAGAGCAGCCCATAACAATCAACATACAAATTACAATGAATTCTTCTTGTACCAATAGGATGTGCACTATAAGGTACAAATACTGTAGTATGAATGTCAAAAATTGACAAGGCCATTTTATTCTACATGTTGCTTCGATTTCGCTTTTATTTAAGTATCATCACTTCTGCCAAAAAACCCCAAGGCCTAAAATTCAAAGCTACATTCTGGATTCCTTGTGAATTCCAACCTTGAAAAAAAATATTTTTAACAGTTTAACAGATAGGTCAGGGTTCGTTAGCTCTGGAAAGAATACATTAATCATCGTATTTATTCGACTAAACGCCCCACTTTGAATAAACGCTGCTCTAAAGCCTCATTTGAGGTAAACACCTTCCTCAAATAAATGTCCCAGGGAGTTATATTTCCCTCAAATAAACACCCAACTCCCTGAATGACTGTAAACAAGATAAAATGGAAGCAGCACCATTCTCAACAGTCTATTAATTTGCTACTACAGTAGAATTACTGTACATTTTTCTAACCTGGTTGGGATCAATTTTATTCATTATGATCACGCAATAGCACACTTTGATGGTACAGTAACTGCTTACTGTACAGTATGTGTTGTAGAGTAATTCCACATTTAGAGTGAAATTAAGGGACATTTAGTCTGTACGTATTCATTTTAAACACAAAAAAACCAAAGAAACTCCCCCCTCAAAAACCCTTCTCAACACTAAATCCCCAGGGCATTTATTTGAATAAATATGGTATGTTAACATTAATAACGTTTCAACTATTTACTGTATTACTTACTAGTTGAAAAAACCCTAGCAAATATGCATATTTCATTTAATATAGCAAGTTTTGTAACTGAATATTCAGTGTTAATGAATGACATGTGCAGACATAAATCCCTGGTGAGGTACAGATTATTATTTTTACAAAGTCAAAAAAGAAACAAATGGTAAGGGTCAAATGCACCGATTTTGAAGGAATGCAGGTTAACAGCTTATTAACAACTATCAGTATGAAAATAATTAAAATTGTTTATATAGTACATGTTGAGGTGTTTAGATCAGGTCATTGCAAGTAACACAGTTTGTAATGAAATCAGATACTGTAAGCAGAAGTAGAGGAATAATGCACAAGTCCAAAATGTTGCTACAAAAAATGGTCGGTAAACTTGTGATCTTAAACTCCCCCCACCCCTAAAAAAACTCAAGCACATTGTTGGCACCGGCAGGAATTGAGGACCCTAATTTGGGGGAATTACAGAAGGACATCCTTGGAAAAGGCTGGATCGACTTACAATTGGGAAAGAGGCAAAATCATTTGTGTCTGGGAAGAACACTGCTTTAAACAATATTTTTACAGTCAGAGAGTGCTTTTGGTTTTAACCACATTGGAACTGATGCAGGTGGACCCATTGTCAGGCATGTTGGACCTCTTGTCAAGGACCTCCGACCCCTTGTGGGAGTACCTGGACAGAACCATCGGGAAATCTCTGGCACAGCCCCTGGGTGAACAGGGGCGAGGGCCTAACAACATTATAGTAAGCTGTTTAAACTGTGAAAATGCAATTAAAAAAAAAAAACCAACTAACGATCATGTTCAGATTTTAATTTAATGCTACCATCAAAATGTGACACATTTTCTAGAAATTTATTATTCTTTCGGCTAAACATGTTAACAAACTAATTGCTTGTTAAGGACGTAAAACTATAATAAACAAGCTTTTGTGAATACCCTATAAGAATACAATGGCGCCAAACCTGTAGGATTTTCTTTAAACTGTGGAATTTCAGATATGCTGGCCTGGCGCTAGGTGAAAACTACGTAATCAGATTATACTGTAGCTCAGACACCGTAAAATTACACCAGTGGTAAAAATAGCCCGACATAGGTTCTACAGTAATAGCAAGGGCCTACTATACATAAATTCAGCTCAGTGAATTTTAAAAATCTTGAACTGGTACATTATCATTACATCTAAGAATATAAGTTTAAGAGACCTGGGAAAACAATGTGGAGAACACTGAAAGAGTAAAATTGCAATTAACACAGTTCTAAGTAAATGAGTTAAAAGATCTTCTATCATGTACTTTTGCAATATTGGCCATTTTTCATAGAAAGAAAGGCATTTTTGAAATATAGTTTTTCATGTAAAGAATTTTAAATATAAAATTTGGAAAATGTGGTGTATCAAGTTGGTAGTATAAAACTTGGTAATGAAAGTGCACATGAGCAGATCATATACTTCTTTTTTTTCGAGATGGCTACTTTTGAAAAGTATGGAGGGGGCTTCGTCTTTTTTTCGAGATGGCTACTTTTGAGAAGGATGGAGGGTGCTTCGTTTTAAAATGAATGCTGTAAATTTTGGGAATTACTACTATAAAACAATAAACAGGGCCACTACTGTATAACATCAATCTGTATCATGGAGTGTATTAACTGGCATTAAATCACCTAAATTATTGTAATAAACTAAGCATGTCTTTAATTTATTTTGTTTCTTTGAAATTCATGTAGAGTGTACAGTATAAAAGCCCATGCTATGCTGGATGGGTATCTTTTTGACGCTACTTTTGCAAACTAAAGAGGGGCTTAAATTTGAGAAGGACCTCTCGAGATTGAGCCCATAGGGCTTCTATTCAAGCTTTTACGGTATTTGTGTATAAGTTTAGGGGGTCATTGTCACTATCAATTTCCCCTTGATCATTTAAGTTCAATGTCCAAGATCCGGTGGCAATATAAATTTGCACAATGTCTTGCCTAACAAAAGAAATTGACTTAATCACCTGAAGAGCTTGTCTTTTATCTTTATGACATAGCAACCACTAAACTTCTGGTATTGGCTATCTGAGCAGGCCTATGGGAATAAACACCTCTCTGAACTAATAACCATGATGTTACTGCTGTATGCCCTACGTCATAAACAGGTTTAATCCTGTGCATTACACAGGAAACCATCTATGTAAAAGATAAGATAAAAACTGAAGCCATCTGATAGATGCAATTTATCATCATTTCCCTCGATGTTTATAAAAATTAAATTTATTAATAAAATGAAAACAGAACAAAATATACTATACAGTACTACAGATGTACACACACCAGGCTAATACCTTCCTGGATATACAATACTTAGTTTTGGAATTTGAATATTTTTATTTGCAAACTCTAATTTTTGTTAGCACTTTGATCTTGATGTAGCTGCATAAATACTCAACATGCAAGAATGCAATTTTACTTGTACTTTGAAGGCCTACAGTATGCTACAATATGTGTCTGCAAATTTGTAAAATTTGAGTCCCTCCAATAATATGTTAACTCAGGATATCAATTAACTTGATCCAAAATTGTAGTTCTGTAGTTGTCTCAGGTTTATTCAGGAAAATTTTATAGAGTAAAGTATAATTTTTTTTCACAAGATACACTCCACGGAGGAATAAGAAACTTATTCCTACATGATTAGGCACAACATTTTGCATCCCTACATCTTAATAATACCTACCAGACTGAGGTCATTATGAGTGCCTGGATCCTAATTGGGTTTGCATTTATAACTATAGCCTCAACTGTTTTCGTTATCATCATCATACAGCAAGCTAGTGGTAGGAGAATTGCATTGTTTTTTACCATACACAATCAATTAGAAAGTTTATAGCCTACTTTGCAAAAAGGCCATAAAAGAGATAGAGTGTGTTGTTGTACTATCAAGACAAATATCATTTGTCTTGGTTTAATAACACCCCAACATGTTTGTATTGAACATAATAAACAATTATTCATCCCTAATTAAGTTCTATTTATACATTATCTATCTACTGTAGCAAACACTTCACATGTAGCAATGCTGCTACTACTTAATACTACAGTAGCCTCAATGATTGTTGTCATCATACAGCAACCAGTTTAATAGTGGTATTAATAGTGGTCAAAATGACAGATTGTTCTTCACCATATGAATTAATCAATTAGAATGTTGTACTTTTGCCTAATTTACCAAAAGGTTGTATATTGTTGCACTAAAAATATCCTCTGCCTAATTGTAAACCTGGTTATAACGCTCTAATATGTTTTATTAAACCTAATAAACAATTAATTAATTAACTTATCTATCATCTTCATCTATTATGCCAACACATGACATCTACCAATGGCTATTCAATGGTTCTTACTAACTTGTGATGTAACCACAGTATTGTAAGCCCTGCTTATGAACAACAGTGTGTATGCTTGTTAACGATTATCTTTTTAATCCTTACCTTCATTTTGACACTGGCAGACGTCCTACATAGGTATTAATGCAAGAAACAAAGATCCACTTGTACATGGAATAAAAATACTTTTTCAAAGTTCCCGCTAGCAAATCCAAGAAACACTTGGGAGCAAGAAAAAGAATAGGAGGAGTGTCACAGGGTGATTGCGTAAAAGTTTCCAAAGCACGGTGGATGACGATGGTGAAACTTGTTCCAACTGTTGGGTAATGAGTTTGTACAAAAGGGTACAGCAGTACAGCAGAGGGTGTGCATCAACAGGTCATGACCTCAGTAAAGAGTGCAAACTTACCTGATGACTCATACTCCAGGAAATGCTCCAATCAGAATAAACACTCACTTATGTCATGCAAATGTCACTGGGTTAAACCACTGTTGAAAGAGGGGTTCAAATAATGGGACCTGTCAATCATGGGTGAGTACATTATCAAGTGATCTATGATATTGGAAAACATTATTGACACTCACAAAGTGGTATGGTTATGTATAAAGTAGTCCTACCCATACTTACCTTATTTAAGTATTGAATACAAAACTAGGTCTTTGATAAAAGAACCTTAACTTTCTTTTGCAAAACCACAACAAGTTTAATTGAATAAGAAAAATTTACCCCATTTCTAAATTAAAATTCAATATTCTCACTGAAACGACCTGACAAAATTATTTCAAAAGAAATTCTTTGCAGACTATGGGAGGGGAAGTGAGTTGTTTACATTGTTATTTTACTTGTTCAACAAACTATAACTTCAATTACAAAGCTAAGTTCTCAGACATATTTTTACAATGAGTTGCTTTTCTAAGTATTCATTTTCTTTTAATAAGGTCATCCACCATACCTGGTAAATCACTCCTTTTCTACCTCTCTATCCTCAAATTATACTTGATACCTTTCGCTTTTTTAGCAGTTAAAATGCACATTTTTATCACTAGTGGCTGGGTCCATATACTATGAATGCTATAACAGCTTAATGGCATTTTGTAATTTCATTCTAAAATTCTAATAATTTCTAAGGTTTACATAGAATTTTCTTTTGACTTTGACTTGTGTGTTGTTTTTCTTCTATTTTGATGTTTATTTTTGTAACTGTACCACTTTCAAAATCCGTAATTAATTAAAGAAAGTGCATGTATCTTAAAGAATGAATGAAAGAATGAATGAAAGAATAAATGAATGAATGAAAATGAATAATATAAATGTTCACGGTTTATTTATTGTCATATATTGTCGAAATTTCTAGCAGGAACAATATATTCAATGTAAGACATACAGTAACAAAAGACATCAACAAAGAACAAGTTCTTGAAAGCTCTGATGAAGGCAGTGTAATAGAGGCAGTATAGTATATTGGCCCTAAGGTTGTGCCTAAATTTTGTCAGGAAGTCTAAAGTTCCTGAAGGAATCCACACCCACCTCAGCTCCACCAAGAAGATGACTGAATCTCCACATCAGAATACACAATTTCCTCCCCTTCACATTTGTGCAATTTCTGTTCAAACAATAACTATACGTAGAATAGTACTCCAAAAAAACCGAAAGTTCCACCGATTAATCTCAGATAAGATAGTATATATTACATACTCCAAGTATAGCAATATTTCGACAGTAATTATGTCATCATCAGGAATCTCGATGATGACATAATTAATGTTGAAATATTGAATCCTGAGACAATGGCGTGCATTTCGATACTTGGAGTATGTATTATACTATAGTACAGTAGAACCCCTCATTTACGTACGGCACGGGCCCAGAGCCGTTCGTAAATTCGGGTATTCGTAAAATCGGGGTTGACCCAAATTCCTATATATTTGCACTGGTTCTACTTACACTGGCCTAGGCTAGGCCTACAGGCTTATGCAGCTAAGTCTGAGGGGGCCTAGGCCTACAAGGGACAGCTTCTAAGCATTCTGATCCCACTCTAGGCTGTACACAAATTTGTTTTTATCGGACATTTTTACCTTCTTAAATCCCCATTCCCTGCAAAATTTCACTAAAAATGACTTTATTTAGAGAATATGCATTTGCATTACTCCAATTATTATAAATCATGGAAAAATATTGGCATGAATTTTAGTTTTACGCAAAAGAATAAAAAAAAAAGAGAAATACAGACTATTTCTCAAAAAATGAGGAATACAGACTATTTCTCATAAAATATTACCATTTTCTCGACGAATTCATCGTTACTAGGCAAATTCAGAGGTTGTAGATCGCATCCACTGGAATACTCTCGCTTTTATGTATACTTTATACAGTCAATAAAGAGCACCCTCTCTAATGAGATTACTTTTTGTACTTCGCATCTCGCACAATGCGGT